CGCTCGCAGCTACCTCACCATCGTCTCCATCGTCGTTGCATATGTGGCGGAGAGGGATAAAGCTTTGGGCAGAGTGTGACGCCCCCATACTCTCCGAGGCCGGGCCCTCTTACATCTGGCAGCTGTCCTAGGACATAGACTGCCCTCACAGACCAACACAAGTCTTTTCTGCACACTTTGTCCTCACTCGTGCACACTCGGGAAGAATTTCCCGGTCGGTCACCCATCTCGAAATTGTATGAGTATTGTATTAATCCTATTAAGCCCTGAGCCGGGATGTCACATTCTCACCCCCTTAAGATACCGACGTCCTCGTCGGTCGTGCCCTCTTACATCTGGCAGCTTTCTTAGGACATAGACTACCCTCACAGACCAACACAAGTCTTTTCTGCACACTTTGTCCCCACTCGTGCACACCCGGCAAGAATTTCCTGGTCGATCACCCATCCCGAAATTGCTCGGGGCCAAGCACGCTTAACCTCAGAGTTATTTGGAGATCGGCTTCTGGAAAAGAAGTTGCAACTTGTTGGTATGAGTATTCTATTAATCCTATTAAGCCCTAAACCAGGATGTCACACAGAGCAAGCAATGTCAGTGGTGGTTTGAGCAGAAGCCGATGGAGGAGGGTCAGGTCAAGGTTGGGCGATGCAGAGTTCAGCAGAGTGGGAGGAGGCTAGCAATGTAGACCGATATGCTTTTGTATGAGAGAGGGGGGATGCAAAGAGGGGGATGAAGAAGATGAAGTAGTGGATGACATATGGGGTCTGTCATACTTTTTAGAAGTATTATTTTCCTACGTTTCATGACTAGATTGACACATGGCTATTTAAACCCTTGCAATGCGTGCACCATGTCGGATCGATACCACCTTTGAAACCGGTTAGGGGTTTAATTCGTCTAGTTTCCGAAGTAGGGCGTCGAATGTTAGTATTGTTGTTTAGGGGGTAAATCGAACTATCACAATTATCTAGGGCAGAAATTTAGATTTTGTTTCTAGTATGTTATTTTCCAATATAGTTGGCCAAAAGGTCCGCAGCCTGATGGCCCAGCCCACGGCAGGACACGACCCGATTATTATTGGGCCCGTGCCTGGGCCTCTTCCTTAGCACAACGTGTCGGCCCGGCACGACATAGCCCAACGATAAACAGGTCCAAAGACATAAGGGAGACAAAATAGACTTAGCTTATAGCAACCATGTAAGACACGTCCAATGAGATGAGGGAGGTAAAATAGATTTATTCTAGCTAGGGGTGACCAGGAAGCTCGTGGCTCGTTAGCTCGCTCAGCTCGTGGGCTCGGCTCGGCTCGGCTTGTTTGAATTTCCTAACGAGCCGAGCTGACATTTTAGCTTGTTAGAGATAACGAGCCAGCTTGAGCTGGCTCGTGAGCTGCTCGCGAGCCTTAACGAGCCAGGACATCCTCAAAGGCCCAGCCTAATACAACAGGAAGGCCCAAGCCCAATAGCAAAAGTGCAAGCAAAACCCTAGACTCCTCCTTAGTCCTCAGTCCTCATTCCTCAATCGTCATCCGCCGTAGTGCTGGCTGTGCTGCACACCCGGTCACCCCTCGCCCGCACCGCACGACACAAGGGCCACCGCCGCCGCCACACTTCCCCAGCCGCCGCCAACCGCCACACATGCCTAGCCGCCGCCGGTCGCCTCACTTCCCTAGCCGCTAGGGCCGCCGCCACCGCCGCAGCACTTTCCCAGCCGCCGTCGTCGCACTTCCCTCCCAGTCGGCGCCAGCCGCAAGAAGGTGCAGGTTGCAGCCTCGGCCTCGCAGCCGCAGGTCCCATCCTCTACCAACTTCGAGCCTGCGACTACGAATACGATGGAGGAAGAACGAGAGGTGCAAGAGCAAGTGCCTCAGGTTGCAGGTGTCGAATCCCAGAGTAAACGCGCGAGCGCGAGCTTGACGCCGGCCTCGTCGAAAGCAACGGCGGGAGCAGCAGCTGTAGGACGGGCCGCACGGATCCCTGCAAGCCGTAGTCGAGGATCTGCAACCACGAACAAGGCAATGGCAACACCGACAGTGGCACCAAGTTCACGAGCTAAAGCCTCTAATCCCTCTATGTCCGTGGTGTGTATCCAAATTCCCTCTTCAGTCTTCACTTTCGTTGTTTTGTTCCAATTATGCTAGGCTTCTTGGCTGTTTGATTTTGATTTTTGAACAATGATATGCTTTGTCAAGTACTACACAACATGGATCTCCTAAATTGCAGAGTGATTTGTTAAAGAGATCATGCCATGATGAATTAGACTATTGTGATGGTTGCTTACTTCAGTTACTTGCTTATTATTAATGAATTAGACTATTGTACTCATGTAACTCATCTATGCGTGAACTAATAATCAATTCATCTATGTATAAATTTGTGCAGGAAATGGTGATCATGTCGGATGGAGAGGAGGATGAAGAAAACAGCTTTGACTTGAACGATGAGATGTCAGTTAGCCTACCTTCTTCAGGAAGCGCAAGTGAGGGAGATGATGGAGATGATAAGTAGGGTCCTAAACGAGGTGCAAAAAGGGCAAAGGGAGGTATTTCACTGTCACCTATCAAGTGCAAGGTAACGAGAGGAAAACGGGATAGTTGTTGGAAATATTTCAAGGTGATCAATGTTCCCTCAAAGAAGGAGAATGGGAAAATGGAATGTAAGGCCAACTGCAGATTTTGTCATCACAGCTATGCATACCACCCTGGGGGAACCACCAAAGCATTGAATTGTCACCTAGATAAGTGCACGATTTACCTGAACAAGCTTGCAAGGGCTAAAGCTCAAGGTACACTTGACTTTCCTTCATGTGATGGTTCTATGCTTGTCCATCCTAGTGAGTATGATCATGACCACACGAAACTTCTAATTGCTCGTATGATAATTCAACATGATTACCCATTTAGGATTGTTGAGCATAAAGGTTTTAATACCTTGATGAAGTGGATGAATAGTAGCTATGAATTCATTGGTAGAAAGACCATAAAAAATGAATGCATGAAGGTTTATGAATTTGAAAAGGACCAACTCAAAAAGAGTCTTAGGGAGGCTGAGTCTATAAGTTTAACTATGGACATGTGGACATCTAATCAAAACATTCAGTATATGTGTTTGGTGGCTCATTACATAGATGTTGATTGGGTTTTGCAATGTCGTGTCCTAAACTTTATTGAGGTGGATCAGTTGAATGGAAAATAGAAGATAAGGTCATGACAATAACCCTTGATAATGCTTGAAACAATGACACGGCTGTTGCTAATTTGAAGTCTAAGCTTGCTGCTAGAAAGAATGGACAGTTTGATTCAGACTATTCCCATGTTCGTTGTGCTGCCCACATAGTAAATTTGGTGGTTAATGATGGCCTGCAACCAATTCAACCTTTGATAAACAATCTTAGGAACACTGTGAAGTACTTTAAGAGGTCTCCAGCCCGTATGTACAAATTTGTGGGAGTGTGCAACACTTTCTCTATTAAAGTTGGAAGAGGGTTGTGTCTTTGATGTTAAAACAAGGTGGAGTTCAACCAATCGAATGCTAGAGTCAGGCATTGAGTATAGAAATGCATTTGATTATTATGCTGAAGTAGACAACTACTATGAGTGGCAACCACTATAATTTGAATGGAATTTGTTTGAGAAAATTCAGCCCATCTTGGGAACAATGGCTAGTGCAACCATTGCATTTTCAGGGTCAACCTACCCCACTGCCAATGTCTTCTATCCTTACATTGTAAAAGTTAAAATATCAATATTAGCTGCACAAACACAAGCACAAGCTAGGCTTGCAGAAGCTGCAAAGTTAGGACAACAGACTGGATTGTATGAACCTGATCCTAATGATGTATTTTTGCTGAATATGACTGATGCAATGATGGACAAATTCAATAAATATTGGGAGAACACAAACAATATCATGGTTATTGCTACAGTCCTTGACCCTAGGTTCAAAATGAGGTACATTACATGGTGCTTTGGTCAATTATTTGACAAGACAAGGTCTGAAATAGAGGTTGCTGCCATAACTAATGAGTTGGGAAAGCTATACAACATGTATGAGGCAATATGTCGCCAAAAGCAAGGTGAGAACAGCCCACACATTGCTCACTCTGCCTCATCCTCAAGGGATACAAGAATGTCGTTGGTTTCAATTGTTCCAAGTGGACTCCAGTCCTTTTTGGAATCAAATGCTGCAGAATCCTCAAAGTCCGAGTTACTCATATATTTAGATGAACTAAATGTGCCCATAGATGATAGCACATTCAACGTGCTGAATTTTTGGAAGGTTGATGCTCATAGGTTTTCTGTTGTGTCTAACATGGCAAAGTGATTCTTGGCTGCTCCAGCTAGTAGTGTGTCGTTAGAGTCTACTTTTAGCAATGGAGGAAGAATTCTTGATGACTATTGTTGGTATTTCTTAACGACATTATTAGAAATATAATTCCCAGCAATGGCACAGAAATACTCCTGGTATATTATGGTTACAGAGTTTATCCGCAAGCGCACGGATATACCATTGTAGCATTTCACCTGAGAGTATTCTAAGGGTATCGTATTTAATCCCGTGGGAAGATCATGGTAGAGAGAACCTGACTAATAATTTATATGTTAGTTGTAATAATTATAGTCTAAGCAGGGGTTAATATAATTCAAGGGTAGAGTGACACACAACCAGGGAACTACTCATTCTCATATAAATTATATGAGAGAGCTTTGCTTGAGAATATACATACATCCTAGTTATCTGACATACTAGCTAATACCCTCTTTCCGTTGCCCTGCTGGTACTTTGAGAAGCCACCCCTGACTGCCGAGTTCCTTACGACAGTCCGTCATGACCATACAATCGGGGTAAATACGGAGGAGTACCCTCCCTAGGAAATTAACTTAGGACTATATACACGCGCGGAGGAATACCCGTACTGAGCTGTCACCAACAGCGGCCCACCTCTCATCCGCAGCATATAACCCCAAATAATGATATCCCGTAGTCTAGACACCACGCCTAAACTACCAGATACTACTCTAATATCATCATCATGATATAGAGTAATTGCATAAGCAAACATTATACCCGTACCAAAGCATCTTACAAAAGAGAAGAGAAGAGCTACTAGAGCCATACCCGAACTCTTTTGAAGGCTTCTGGACTCCGATTTATACTCTATTCCTATTCCACTAGCTTGATAACACTAAACTAAACTTGAGAGAATATGAGAGAGCTTTGCTTGAGATGTGTGAGTGAAGTGAGAAAGTGAAGTCCTTATATAGAGGTAGGTATGACGGTTGTGGAAGGGGAATTGTCCGAAGTGCCCTCCAACCGTCATTAGGATGCAATCCTGGACGTCCATGCCGAACCCTGGCCTCAACGGTGGAGATTGGGGTTTGGCCGAACCCTATGGTTCGGCTGAACCATGGGCTGGCCCAAACCAGCCCATCTTCGGTTGGCGACTTATTGGACTTCTTCTCTTTATAGACTTGTGAATTTTGGCCCAATTGATCGTGTCAATTCTGATTTCTTGGCCCATTCATGCATAAGTCTGATTCTCGATATCGTCCGATTGATTTATCGTTTGATTTGATGTCGATTCTCCTCCACTTATTGTTTGTTCTCTGCAAAAGGTTAGTGAAACAAATACTAGTGGAATATTATTATTCTAACATGGATATGCATTGCAAGTATAACTAGTTCTCCTCTATTTTGGTAATTTTGACGGCCGAAACTGATCGCTAATGACCGTCAACAACTATATGAGTTCTTTGAAGGCAGAAACTGTTCAGGCTTTGGTTTGTGCATCAAGTTGGATAAGAGCCTCTCAAAATGATAACAGTGCACCTATTCTTGTGGTATGTAATGTAATATAAAGCTTATTTTTACTTTTATTTTTGTCAAGTCTTTGTATAAATTGCCTATTTTGGACTGTTTTTACAAGCAGATGGTGGAGATGATGATATTGAAATAGTGGAGTTCCCTAATTGTGTGGTGTCAAGCAACTAGTAAGTAGTAAGTACAATTTATATTTAAGTTGACTGAGTTCTTTTGCTAATTCAGTGTCATATTAATGATTAACATATGTGTATTTACTTGCAGGCTACAACTCTAGAAGAGACGGCCTGTTTGGTTGGAGGGAGTTTTTAGGAGGGATTGGGAGTTTAGAGGGATGAGGCTATTAAGTGTTTTGTTTGGTTGGGAGACATGGGAATTTTGGTGGGATGAGGATGAGGAATTGAGGAAGGAACTCCCTCCTTTTCAATACCTGGGTAGGGGCAGGTAATTGGGAGGGAATTCCTCCTTTAATTTTTCTAAGCAAATCTCAGTCATCCGTTTTTATTAATGACTTAATCTCCAACTAAACTCCCTATCAATTTCCATCACCTCTACCAAACAAGATATTTGGATTAAAAATCAAATTCTCATCTTAATCTCATAATCAATTCCCTCGTGTAAACTCCCAATCCCCTTCCCTCGAGTTACCAAACAAGCCGAGAAGGGATGGGAGTGGGACTATGGAGGGAGAAAGGAAGCTGTCAAGGGCTCAGGGCTGCAGCAGCTGCTGCTCTAAACTGCACTCCACTTGTGTTTTGTGTTTATGTGCAATTGTCTTGGATGAAAATGATGAACCTTGCAGGCTGCAGCTTTACTAGTTATGCATTTATGTTAAATTTTGATGTATTGAACTATTGAAGTATATATTATTGTACTGGACTTTGGAAGTTGGAACTTGGAACCTATCTACCACCTATGTGGGCATGTCAGCATGTGGTGTGGCTGCCTGTGGCTCTGAATATGTGAATATGTGAATATGTGATGTGATGAACTGATTTGATATCCGTCAATCTATGTGAGTGTGACTGTGGTTATGTACTTCTGAAGTTGTGATTTGTGAAATTGTGTTTAATCATGGACTTTTGGTAGATTACTTATCTCATCTGTGACTATGAATGTGAATATGTGATTGTGATTTGTGAATTTGTGATTTGTTGCTTTGATATTTTCATATTTATATTATTATATACAATTGCATTTGATTTGCATACTCAAACAACCTATTAACCTATATAATAATGTATCACACTGTCATCCTTGCTGTCTTGTTGGTTTGGCTCGCGAGCCTAACGAGCTAGCTCGAGCTTTCAAACGAGCCGAGCCGAGCTGGGTTTCTAGGTTGTTAGGATAACGAGCCAAGCCGAGCCGAGCTGGCTCGCTATCCACCCCTAATTCTAGCTATGTAAGACACGCCAAAGAGATGAGGTAGGCAAAATTTACTTATTCAAGGACGAGTATGGTGGACTTATCGTGCCTTCGGGCCAGCACGTCACAACCCGAGCCTTATTTGGCCGTGCCAAGGCCGTAGGTGCATTCCGTGGGTGGGCAAGTGTCACGCCCGAAAATTCACTAGTAATTTCCAAACTAATTTATACATAAAATCCTCATCTAGAAATTAGCCGAGGTATACAAACTAACAATTTAATATACAAATCCATCATATTAATAACTTTACATACTTACAAAAGAAAAAAAACAACTGAAGCGGATAAACGGTCTAGCGATGGCACCAGCTCCACTCCCATAGGTAGCTCAACTGGGGTATAAGCCAAACGTCTTCTCCTTTCCAACTTTTCTTCCACTGAGGTTTGATTGATTATTGCAAGGTAAGTAATGGAATACTCCGCAAGCCACATAGCAAGCATGCAAGTGCACAAGATAACAAAGGATGACATAATATAGGGCTCATTTGCAAAAGCAACATTTAGCAAAATATTTAAGCGGAGTAAAACAGTAGAGTAATTAATCATCAATATTCATTAACACCGAACAGCACACCCATGCTGCACCGGTCCAACCAAACCTGAACAACGAACCCCGGTCGTACAGATCAAACCTCCAAACCAGGAATTTGCCTTTCCAAACTAGCAGTTAAACTGGAACCATCATTTATCACATAATTATTATTAATGAATGGAGTGGGATTAATATTGAAAAACATTGTTAAACCCGCCCATAATCGCAAGCACAGCTATTCAAATAGGTTTACTCTAGCCAGAGATGTACCACTGTACCCACAAGACATAGCCCCAAAACATGTTACCATGCCCTCAGTACCACCACGGTACCTCGAAACGAGACTGTGACAGTACCCTCCGCATAACACAATTCACAGCAGTGCACCGTTCCTGGATCATAATCAACCCCTTTAACCAAGGTATAGACTCCCCAGTGACCCCACGGACTTATCGCCGCTTCACAGTCTAGTGCCCCGCAATGAACCATGCTATACAAAACATAAAGCCATTGCCCATGCTAGTTTGTGGTTGGTACGGTTAATGTTTCACAACATTAGCTCACGAACCATCAAAACCATGTGCTCACAACCCACCATTATCAGGTTTTAGTTGGCAAATTAATTAATTAACCAATCACGACTAGCCATCGTGAGCTACCATTAAATATCCTTCATTAGGTAATAGTGAAGCTTTAGTTATCCCAATAGTGTGCTAATGTTTCTGAGCACAGCTAAGCAATTACATCTAATATCTAGCTAAACCAATATATAAGGTCCAAGCTAGTCAAATTATAATCCATAGGAAAATAAAGTCATCTTTGGCCATAATATAGGGAAAAGGCTTACCACCTGATGACATTCATAAATAAATGCGTACTTGAAATAAATAGAGAATTTAAATATAGGATCAACATGCTCAAAGGATTGTGTTTGGGATCTGTGTGACTTGCCTTGCAATAATCGGTTTTAAATTAATCTTCTGAAACACTTCCGACGCACTCACGAACCTCCGAAACGACGAAAACGACAGCTAACACGTAAAATGAGGAAAAAGACTAAGAAACTCCAAATAAACAGTATATAAAAAGTAAACAAACATGTAGACCATGATTTTAGATGAATTTAGAGCCTTGAACGGCCTCATTCTGACTTCATATAAATTAATTATGAATTTGACAAGATTTAATACAATTAAACCTATTAAAGAAAATACTATTCCAAATTAATTAAGCAATTTACAGATAATTTATAACTGGGATAAAAGATTAAAGACATTATCCGAAAATAGATTGGATCATATTTGGTAGAGGACATATATTAAAATATGTCATTGAAAAGAGGGAAAAATATTTATATTGATTTGGACAGCTGAGATTAATCTTGACCGAGTTGACCAAGATCGGATGGCTCGAATTGATCTAATCTAGGGTTTTGAGATGGCTGTCTCGTGGGCGAAGAGGCGACGTGGCACTGAGGTGGCGGCTGACTGGCGATAATGTGGACACGCCACACGGGATCAACGGCGGTAACTTTGGATGGCGGCGGTGACGGTGTACGGCGGCGCTCCGGCGGACACAAAAGGGCACAGGGGGGAAGAAGAGATCGAGGCGATCCTTACCGACTTGATGACGACGATGAGCAGCGACGGGAGAGACCGGCGGCGAGCTCCGGATCCACGGCGGTGACGACTTTCCGGCGACGAACGGCGGCAACAGAGGGGTGGCCGGGCTTCTTCTCGCTGCTGCGATGCCGAGGAGGGCAATGGCATTGACTGGGGGCGACTGAGGCGGCGGCTAGCAGCGGCTGAAACCACGGCGGTGCTCGGATGGCGATGGCGGTGGTGCTACGGGCGACGGTGAGGTCAGGCGAGGGTGGCAAACGAAAGAAGAGCACTCTAGCGACAGGGATACAAACAGACTTTTTACTGGGATGAAAGAAAAAGAAAACAGGAGGATATGATATAGACTTATGGCTGCTTGCTACGCTTGACTTGCAAGAGGGAAATAGAATAGACTTCGCGAGGAAAAGGGCCGGAAAAAAAAGGAAGAATGAGCCGAGAGAGAGAGAGGGCTTTTCCTGATTCGGCCCGAAAAGGAAAAGGGGATTTTTAATTACTTTTCCGAATAAATTAATCACTGAAATAATATTTGAATTGTTAAAATACTTCCGGTGCTCGAATAATTTCAAGAAAGATCCTGAAACTAATTGGACACTCAGAGTATTTAATAAAAATTATACCCAGATCATTTAATGATCAATTTAATATTTAAATAATTATTAAATGTCTTTTTTTATTAAAATTAGTAATTGAGCTCTGAAAAATCCAAGGAAGTTCCAGAGAGTATAATTAATTATGGAGAATTTAATAAAAATTAAATCCAGCCATGCTTTATATTTACGACTTGTTCGGTTGGGGGTGTTTTTAAAAGGGATTAGGAGTTTAGAGGGATGAGACTATTAGCTGTTCTGTTTGGTTGGGAGACATGTAAATTTTGGTGGGATATGGATGAGGAATTGAGAAAGAAACTCCCTCCTTTTCAATTCCTGCGCAGGGGGTGGTAATTGGGAGGAAATTCCTCCTTTACTCCACCTAAACAAATCTCAACCATCCATTTTTCTTTAATGACCTAATGTCCAACTAAACTACCTATCAAATTCGACCTCTCTACCAAACAGGATATTGGGATTAAACATCAAATTCCCATCTTAATCTCATCATTAATTTCCTCATGTAAACTCCCAATCCCCTTCCCTCGAGTTGACAAACAAGCCGTTAGGAAATTTTATTTTTCATATTTAAATTCACTTATAAATTAATGAACATTTAATATAAATTCTAAAAATAATTTATTAAATAATTTATAAATCCTAAAACGAAATTCAGAATATGACAACAAGGCCCAGTACGGTGAGTTCTTCAGGGCATGCCTAGGCCGGTCCGTGTCGGGCGGTCCATTTGATTATCTATATCATCCAATAACTGCTGGAGAGGATCATTTTCTAGCTAGGTCTTTCCCAATAACTGCTGGAGAGGATCATTTACTAGCGAGGTCTCTTGTTAAGGTCATGGCCGAAACTTCCTTTGGAATAAACGTCCAAACTATAACACGTACATTTATAGGCCTTCGTATTATTATTGTACGTAACGAGAAAAATAAGTTGAGAACGTGGGTACCTCATTGTTCTCTAAATAAAATTACCTCTTAGCGGAATGGTCCAAGCGAACAAGCATCGTTAATCGCCTTTTGGTATTGATATGATGCGAATCACATCATATATATACACTTGTTTTAATATTTACACTTAATTATAGGTGAATTCGTTTCCTAAAATTAATATTATTAATGTTAGTTTTGATAGGACCAAATTTACTGCCTAATAAAAAATGTTCTTTTTATGTTGATAGTATTGAAGTGCCTATATTGGATTCTGTACTGTAGCGAGGAGGTGTTGCTGCCGGTACCAATTAAAAACCCATAACTCATGCTAATGAAGGAAGAAAATCTACACAGGAATGTGTCCTGTTGAGCTTAGAACCAAGACAAGACAGAGTGCATGTTCTGCTCCACCAGGTATTTAATTAATCAAGTATTCCCAATCCGGGAAAATATGTACTGCAAACTACATATATAGTGGAAACTTAAAAACTACCGTTGGATTGAGAAATGGACGTCCGAGATTCGTCCACGTCACCATGAGTTAAAATTTAACTCGCAGATTCACTCATGAGTTCAAATTTTACTGGGAGTTAAATTTTAACTCATAGTGACATGGGCGAATCTCGGACGTCCATTTCTCGATCCAACGGTTGTTTCCAAGTTTTCACTGCATATTTTGCCGAGTAATCATGCAGTCCAAGCTATGCATGCATTGATGCATGCACGTTAGGATTAATTGGCAAGGCAACAAATTCTGAATGGCAGTCATGTATCGTTTTGTGTTGGGCCGGGCTGTTCAATTCGGCCTGCTTCGATG